TAATTAATTTTATTAGTGTAAAAAGCCATGATCCTGTCAGTGTGTTAGTAACAACTCGCAAGAGAAGTCCCGTGGTGTGCGTGGCCCAGCACATCAGGTCATAGCAGGTTTGAGAGTCTAACTCTTCCAGAACTCAAGATGCATTAAAATTAAATGTATTTCAATGTGCATTTAAATTTTGGGCAACACTAAAGTCTTCAGGAAGCTGGACTGGTTGATCCTTCTAACTGAAAAAAAAAAAAAAAAAAATTAAAAATTGGTTCTCCTCCGCGGTGCCGGGAGGTGGAACGGTTGTTTTTCCTCCAGTTGTATTCAACTACTGTAAATAATTTGCCGTGCTTTTTGTGAGCTCAAAGGATTCAATGGCAGCCTTCCACAGGAGCAGCAGGGGGAATTAGTTTACTTGGAAACGATCTGCGAGTGTGTGTATATACTGCTGGTGAATATTAGATGATTGGATAATGAGGTGTTAGCAAGGAGAGGCTACGGAGAAGTAAATATCGTGGTTTTTAGCGGGTACTTTTCTTTAAAGAATGTGTTGCTAATGCAAAGCATTCCATTCGCCACGGAAGGTGCCGGGACAGGAGGAACTTGGAGCATGGCATAAACCCACCCCATCGCTTCAGAAGGTACCAGTGTCCAGGGTCGTACTCTGACCAGAGCGAAACCAAGATTTACAAGTAAGCCAGGTCAGGATTTGGGGAATTTTCTTTCCAGGTCACACCATTCCCATTTTAAGAGGTGGAAACTTATTCCGGGCACACTGAAATCCCAGGAAGTTGGGTGGTGATTCCAGTGGGAGCAGAGCCATCATTTCCTTAGCATGGCCCTGCTCATGAGGACCCTGAGATCTCCTCAACCCCACCAACTTCCAGAGTGTGTAGAACTCTGGCCCTGCCATTCCCTCCTCCGTTTCCTATCCTATCCTATCCTATCCTATCAATTTTATTAAACAGAGGTTCCCTGAGAGCTGGTTTGCATCCCTACACTGGTATATTTTACAGTCCAAATGAAGTGATATTTAAGTCCAAATTACAATTTTGGCCTTTGCAGGACAATAAATACATGTGTGCACGTGTCCAGGCACAGCTGCAATTGTGTGTGAGTGATTCAGGGGCTGATGGGCTCCAAAAAGATAGGGTTTCACAATTCTGGATTTTCAGAGACACTTTCCATTCTCCTCTTCATCTCAGCCTATCTTCTTTTAGCAGTTCAGGCAAGAAGTCAATCACACTGAGTCAGGCTGAAGAAAAACATTTTATGCTGTTTTTCTCATCCAAACCCCCTCCTGCCGTAATCTGCAGTAAGGCCCAGGCACAGGAAATTGACCTCACAGTAAATTCTTTACAGATTCAGTCATGTTTTTACCATCCACTTAAACTTGCATACATAACCTGAGACTGTACCTCTGGATCAAGGAATATGACAAGCCAAAATAAAATCAAGTCAAATTAAAGAGCAAGAAAAAGCTGCAAGCAAAACAAGGCTGAAATAAAAAAAAAAAAATAGAAGAAATAAAATAGGAAAAGATGAAAAATTGATTGTGACTGCAAAACTGTAAGTATTAAATAAAGAAAGAAGTCAGAAGCTGATTCAGAAGCGTCCGTGTTGTAGTTGACAAGGGCTGAGAAATACTAATGGACTTTTTTTAACGGGTGCTTTGATGGATGAGAGAAGAAATGATGTAAAAGTAAATGTAGTGGTGTCTCAACGTAAAATATGGTGAAAATAAAAAAAAAAAGGGAAATAAAAAAATAATAAAATAATAAAAAAAAAAGCATTGCAAATAAAAAAAAAAGGACATGTAAATGTGTGCCTACCATTTTCCAGATAAGAAGGGGCCGTACCTTCTGAGGGGTCAAGGCGGCGAGCCCGCCTCCCGTGTTTGGAATTGTTGTGTACAAACATGTTGTCTGAGACAGCCAGCACGTGGCCATCCACATTGACTGTTGTTGATACAACAACCTGGAAGAGAAAACAAAACCCCACATTTCAAAAATCCTGCGGATTTTCCCCGAATCAGGTCTCGTAAGACAAAACAGCACCCTGTTACTTTTCTGTTTCTATTTAAACAGAGTGAATGACATCTCTGAATACATCTTTGTTTGCGTGGCGACCACTGGTGATTTTTAACTCACAATTGTTTCTCTTCAGAACCTGCTACACTAATTAGAGTTTAATCTCCTATTATGCTAACAAATGAATTCAATTCAGGGAAATATTCTTCTAGCCATTAGTTTCAGAAACACCCCTCTAGCCACTCATTTTAAAAGCTGCTGTTTTGATTGATCTGTTGATATATTGATTAGATAGTTTATCTAATTAAAATTTGTTCACTTGAGACTGTCTTCAAATGAAGGGTTGTGAGGATTCCAAATAAAAAAAGCTTAATAAATCAAGAACCGTCGTAACTCCCCATTTTTTCTTCAGTAAATGATCTCCAGGTCAGTTTTACAATTACATTTAATGTCTGATAATGAACTTTTTTGCATCTGAAAAGGCCGAGTTGAATATGAATAGTGAAAGTGTTTTCAATCCATGAAAAGTATCCCTTCTCAAGTTCATTTGGATGGTGATTGACCCTGGTATGTCAATGGAATTTCCTCCTTTATTTTTGAGTGAAAGGCTCCTATTCTTGTGTCCAGGTTCAGAGTCCGGCCATAGAAGAGATGATGGATAGGGCCTCCTTTGGCTTCCAGCTGCTTCTCAGTTGAAAATGGCAAAGGAACATATGCAAAAGGCACAACCTTCCCGATGCCAACACCTCCACAATGGAGCTGTGGGACTCCTTCCGGAAGCGGCAGCGCGGGAGCGCCAGCCAGGGAGGAAACCACGAGCTGCGTGGGGTTTGTGTGGAGCACGGCTTCGTAGGTGGATCACTGCTATCCCAGACTGACATTTACATCTTATTTAAATACTCCAGCGTGGGCCCTTTTCTGTGGTTCCAGGTTGTCTGAATGAAGTGGCTGCTGCAGATTTTCCTTTGGGGTGAGTAGAGTCCGTAAAGTCGCTGCCTAAGTCAGACCTTATCAACACAGCTGGTGAGGGCAGACAAAGGCAGGACAAAGTGTCCACTTTCCTTTTATCTAAATTTTGGTTGTAACAAAGATGGTTGCAGGGCTCTCCCACCAGCTTCTAAACCAAAACACTTAATGAACACAAATGGAAGGGGAGCAGAGAGCCTCCTCCACATAGAGCTGGTCCAAGGCATCAGAAGAAAATTCTTGTCTGCTTCTATGTTTTGGATCACCTCTGATCCTGTTTCTTATTCACAAGCCATAATTAGCTCTCAGCTATCACAGCACCTTTTCTGTGTATCCTGCCTCCTTGGAGACAGCCATCTGCGGTACCCTTTAGAACAGCCCGAGGGCAGTTCTCTGCCAGGCTGCTCTGCTTCCCCAGCTCTCTCCTCCCAGAAGTGGACACCTTCCCTCTTGTCAACATCCACTTCGGAGAGTGCTGAGGTTGCACGCTCAGCTCGGCCGCAGAGCTGCTGCCAGGCCACTGGGCTATCCTCTTTCACTCTTAATGAGATTCCCAGACCTCCAGAAATATTGCAAAACATGCAAGCGTGATTTCCAGCCAGGATTTCTGGGTTTGGTTCCTAGAACACGGTGTATTAAAGAGACAGAGCAAGGTGTATATGAAAATGACAACTATTTTTGTTCTGTCATGTCTATATAGGTCAGCCACCAAGGGAAAATACTGTAGTTCAGCAAAAGAAAGTCGACGTGCTACGCTTTGTTATATCGCCTCACTCCTGCAGTGCACCTCCACAAAGGTGCTGAGGCAGGGAAACCAGGTAAAAATACTGTTCAAGATCTGACATCCTGTTAAGTCCAGTTAAACCTTCTGAGAGGCAGGGAGATTAGCTAAAGAGACCCAGGAAAGTCTTTCTAGTGCCTACTGGCTCCATTGTCGACCACAAGATCACTCGTGACTGATGCTTCATTTAGTCATCAGTGAGACAAAGAGGACATTTCCACTCATTCCAGGTTTGACCTTCTGTTCTGTTCAGATGGATCAATACCACCGATGCCACGTGAAGCTGAGATGCATGAAAAATGGAAGCCTGGCTCGATTGTTTTGAAGGAATTTTTTTTTTTTTCCAGCTACAGATCTTTTCTGTTGGCTGGCTCGAGGGTGCTGGCTTCCCCGGTTGGTTGGCTGTGCATGAAAACAGATGTCACATGTTTTGCTATCAAGTTTAACCACAAGTAATTCTTCTCCAAACTGAGAAAGTCCTGAACATCTCAATACTACTTTATTGCTGGAATCAAATACGAATAATTGTGAAATATTTTGGGGAAAAAAAAAAAAAAGTCAGTTATTTCCTAACGGGCCTTTAGAATGACCCCAGATAGAGAGAAAATCATTTGTCCATCCCGTCAGCTGCCTCTCTGTAGTGCTATGATTCACCACAGGATATCTCAAAAGCTGTAAGGAGAAAGTGAAGTATTAAACGTTTTCTAACACAGTTGAAACAAAAATCTGTGGGTTGGGCCACCACTGCTGGATCTAAAAGTTGTGAACCAGAGAAGTGTGAGTTCCAAACTTCCCCGTGCTCCAAAGTTGTGTTCTTAAAGTAAGATCAAGCTATTCAGTCTACATAAAACATCTGCATGTCTGAGCAAAGAGAACACTACAGCACAAGGTGATAGGAGGAAGGAAAATTAGGGAAATAATTCCTAAGGGAAGACCCACTTGCTCCAACATTTATCCATTACAGCCCCCTGCAGAACTTCAGAACCAGCACTTAAATTAATGGGAGCAACGTAAAATACTGACAGCATTTTTTTTTTTTTTAAGCACTGGAACAACACTGAGTGGAAGCACTGACTGTGTTTTCTCAGAAGTTCAAGATGAAGATGTGATCAAGTCTTGTATACATCATTTATGCATTTAGAGGGATCTGTACCTGGAATCTTCGCATGTCTCGTGGGTTGCCTGCATTCTTCAAACAGTTCTGATTGCACTTGAGGAAAAACTTTAGAAAGAATCTATAAAAATACAAAATTGAAATCTATTAGATTCATCAAAATGTAAATCCAATTTTTTAGAAGTTTAATAAAATCTAATCATAAATAGTTATACCCAAAAGGATACTGGTAGTGAAATATTACTTTCCTATTCATTAATGAACTTATTTTAAAGCATAAGATCTCTGTCATAAACAGAACATTATTGCCAAGGAAAGGCAAATTTATATTTTTAATTTTTCAACAACTACAAATGTATTGACTCCAGGCCATATCCTTAACTCGGTGTGGGAAAGTTGATTTCAATGACTCATTGACTTCAAAGGCAATGACTTACACCAGATGAGAATTTGTCTCTATTTTTTTTAATACTTTTCATTTTTTCACAACTTATATTAGCAGTAATGACCTCTACGTCAAAAAATTCCAAAGGTAATGATCAATCTTCTGAAAAACACTTGGCTTTGCCTCCGGTTTGGAAACTCGAGCTATTCAAAGGGACTCGATCCAACTCCTGCTGACTCCAGGGAGATCCAGGCAGGATCTGCCCACCGGCAAGGCCCCGGCTCCCTCATTGTTTTTGAAAGGGAAGGAACATGGCAAATTAGGCCCTGTCTTACGACCTCTTCAACCTTTGCCAGCCTTCAGCTGTGAGGAGTCACTCTACCCAGGGATCGAAATCCAGCTTATTTCTGCTGAGCGGCAACCAGCAATTATTTAGGACTAACCCTTATCATCCAGGCATCTCCCCATAAACCGTTTTTGCAGCAACGCTGCCCCAGGGGAGCACAGCAAGCACTTAGAGGGAAGGGGGAAGCTCGGGAAGATGGAAACTCCTTTCTGCCGCCCTCCTGCACCGCAGGAAAGAGCTGAACTGGGAAGTCTCCACCCTGCAGGTGAAGCAAACCGCGGGATCCTCAGGAGGACATTTGCAGCCTGACATCATCTTTTTTATTTATGCACTCATGTTTTCATCCTTCATAATAAAACTATGTCTTAATTAGGTTTTCTGGCTAATGACCGACCACTAATGACAAGCAAAGCTCAGGATTTTCTCCTCAGCCAGAGTTCCTCAGATGCTCCAGTCCAGCAGCTCGTGCTGCCTAACTTTGTACATGCTGGACAGCGTGGTCAGCCAGAGCTTCCACCTTCAGAATATGAACAACTTTGATTTATTCACTCATGTCAGTCTTCACAAGTGACTGGGACTGTTCTTGCTGCACACACCTCACAGGAGTTTCCATGTGCCAAGAGCATTCCTGGCAAGAGGAAAGACAGAAACATCTTTCCTCCTTTAGCACCCAACAGGGCCCAGCCATGACCAGCAGAAAGAACAACAGTGGCTGCACCACATCCTGAGAAGCTTCAAGGGTCATACAGCAGCATTATGGGAGCATCCCCTAGACAAAAACTTTTTATCCCAGCTCTTCCTCCTCCATTAAACCTTGATCAGCACACCGATGTTACCCCAGGACACGAATGCTGAAGGAGCAATCTCTCATATCAGAGAGGCAAGCAGGGAAACACCCAGGTTTACTGAAACTGCATAAATAAATCGATGCTGACAGTTCAGCTGAATGCACATTTCTTTAAAACTTCCTATCCCAAAACCTGTAAAGGGGTTTCAGCTGTCGAGCTGAAAAAGATCTGGATTTTTGTGGTGGATGGCATGATCTCCTAGCTCAGATGCTCAGGTTTTCTGGATGCCGTTGCAGGGATATTATCAGTAACTGCATGAAACTGCCTCCGTGTAAGCCACAAGTTTCCCCCTAATTTTATCTGCCATGTTTTGGAGTTTTTTCGGTGTTTTGGATTAGTAATTTTTTTGTTATTGTTGTTATGTGAGATACTTATTCTTTCCAGATCATTTGATTATAGGCTCCCTGCTCATTGCAGGGGGGTTGGAATGGATGATCTTTGAGGTCCCTTCCAAGCCAAACCATTCCATGATTCTGTTATTCCAAAGGTAACATCCTTTCTGTGCAAGGCCCAGCTGATGCCCAGCTCCACACAGAACCACCCATTTCTGGGGAGCCAGGAGCTGGGACCAGCCTCCAGTCTTACAGCTCCTTAGTGCCACATCCAGGCTGAAGAGCGGTATCTTATCTTCTTTTTTTTCTTTCTTTCTTTCTTTTTTTTTTTTTTTTTTTTTTTTTTTTTTTTTTTTTTTTTTCTGATCTCAAATGGGTGTTGTGAGGCTTATTGAGCTAATGTTTGTAAATTGCTCGGAAATTCTCCAATGAATTGTGCACTAGGAATGCTAAGTATTGCTCCTCGTGGATTGTTTTTAGCGTGAAGCATTCATGATGAATTGTTTCTATACAGAGAGCTCACATCCTGTCAAAGAAAAAGGGCCATTAAGCACCCTTTCACTAAACATCAACTGGAACCGGTATTTGTTCAATTATTTGGTGAAAAGGACCCACTCTTGGTGAAATTAGACATCATCAAGTTTATTAGGATGGCTCTGAGCACCGGACTAAATATTGATGCCAGGCTGGAGTGAACAGAAGCAGCACTCCCATTTCAGCTCCACTACATTCCTTGATGCTGAGATATTTTATTTCTCTCTTTACTCTGGGCTTTCAGAGTCCACGGAGCACAGGTGGCATCAGGACAAGCTTTTCAGAGGAAGACAACATAAGCTAAAAACCACATTCCCAGGCAGGGTGTTCCTCCGTGCCAGGAGGAGATGATTGACTTGGTGGTTGCTCTCAGCTGACCACCAAGGACTGTGGGCACTGCAAACCCATCCCTCCCACCCCTTCCAAGAGGTCTCTGTGGCAGAGCAAAGCAAGAAGCAAGGACCTGGAGCAGAGCTCTGCTTGGTCTCACCTCAAAATTTGAGACGAGAATGAGAATTCAAGCCTTTCTAGGTTTGGCTCTCCCTGTTATATTTTGTATTATAAGCAGAAATTTTAGCCTTCTTTAATAAATAGAGCCTTGCAAAACAGCCTTCCCAAGCAGGCTAAGCTGCTCCTAAAATACTGATAGGGAGAAAAATGCACTCTTTGCCATGTCCCCTTGCTCTGATTTTTTCCCACTGCTAGAATGGGGCCTGCTACCCTCTTAATTAAAATGTATTACCTTCCACAAGACTCCACTATTTTAAGCTAAAATTTACATCTTTTATTAACTCACCTCACCTATACACTTAGCTCTGATGCCTCTCGCCGCCCATCTGCCATCCACATACAGTGAGTCACTTGATATTCCACCCACCAATTTTTCCTAACAACCACTGTGCAATTAAACTCAACACGTTCTGTTGCGAGGTAAATTAGGCACACCTGCGGCCAGCCTGCATTTGAACCGCATCAGAAAAGGACCTAACAAGGTGAGAGCAGTACCACAAAGTTATAGGCCTGTCAAGCAATTAGGTTTTCACTTCTGGGACATCCGCACAGTGCAATTATGCTACACATTACAACCTGGCTAATCTTCTGAACAAATGTCATGTCTCGGAGAAGCGAGGAAAAGCAGTTCATCTGCAAATGTGGCTGCTCTTAAGCCTCCACCTTATGCACATAACAACCTACAGGAGACTTTTTTTTTTTGTGAAATGAAAGATGGTTTTTTTCCATAGAAGATTTTTTAAACCCTGCAAGTGCTTTTTCATCCTGTTCACCTCTTCTTAACCTCTGTGAGAGGAGGTGTTGTAGCAAATAGACCAGAAAGACTTTTGTACTTAAATTTCAACACTAAGCAAGAAAATCCTCGGTGCTATAAGCATGAGCGGTGGCTTCAGTTTGGTCCAATTCAAATACTGCTTGGCTACAGGAATATTTGTGGCAGAAAACCACCTATTACACCCCAGAAACACCATTAATAAAATGTATTTCCACCAGACCACAAACCAAAGTGTCACTCATGCAAATAAACCTCCGCAGGAAGTAAACGCTTCATTCTTTTTATTTCAGATATGGAGTCTGAGTGTCCTGGTAACAACACCCTGAGCCCAACTCTGCACTGGAGAGAGGTGAGATCATAAGGAAGTCAGTGGAACCATGCAGGGACAGGCAGCTTCCACCCCTTTATCCAGTAAGATCTTCCCAACATTCAACTCCAACCAGGCAGAGGACACAAAACCCTGCCAGCCCTGCAGGCAGCATTTTGTTTTACTCCAATAATTCCGTTTCGTTTTTAGCTGTATTTCAGGTACACAGTTTTGTTGTTCAATTAAGCCTGCAGACGAGATCTTGCTGTACTACAAAATACAGAATTGTTAAGATATGACAGGTCTGCTCTACTTTCATGAGTAAAAAAGATGGGATTCGGATCATTATCCATGATTTTGAAGTTCTTTGGAGGAGAAGCTGTCCACAGGGGCACGATGCTGTTAGGGGGTGGAGGAGGGAGAGAGCAGGAGAAGAGGAGACGTTTGAAGTCAAATGGTAATTCTCATCCTTTACTCGATTACCCTTTAATTGGCTTTTTCCTAAGAAATATCTGACAACCACTTTGCATATCTCTTTTCCAGAGCCTAGTAAACAAAGGATTTAATACTCTTGTTATGAAAGGAAAAATCTTTCCTCTGTCAGAAAATCTTTGGCTTTAGCACCAATAAACTCTTTATTACTGCTAAACTTGGATTTGCTGCTCGATCGCAGAGAGGCGATAAAAACTCTAACCTGTCATTAGTGCATTATGCTTAATTGTGTACAGTATGTTTCCAGTTGCATCTGTTGGCCCATTATCAAAATGACCATTATGTACACTAATTCCCTGACCCTGTCTTTATTTCCCTAAAGAGTCATAATCTTTCACAGTAGGTATCAGAGTAAATCAAGCTTGAAATATGGGCTTTATTTACTTGTTTCTCCCAGGCAGAGTGGAAGTCTGTAGCTAAAGACAAACTGCTGGAGATAAGTAGCAAGGAGGTTGTAATATTCTCCTTGGAGGAAGGGTGGAAGCTACTGGGTGACCACTGGAAGACTAAAAAATGTCACCCCATTTCCTTTTCAGTTTGGTTTTGTTATCAAAGGTAACACAAGGACAAGGAAACATTTATTTCTGGTTTG